CATTTCCTGATCTGCTGGGACATTCCCAGGTCCTGGAGCTCAGGGAAGGTGGTCCCTGATCTGGAGGACACAGCTCCAAAGTGACCAAAAGGCTCCCGGAACAGCCTCAGCATCATTCCCTGCTCCACTGTGACATTCCCAGGAAATGTGGGGCTCAGGGAAGATGATCCCTGACATGGAGAACAGAGCTCCAACCCCACCAGGAGGCCCCTGGAGCAGCCCCAAACCATCCCCTGATCCGCTGTGACATTCCTAGGTCCTGGGGCACACAGGGAAGGTGATCCCAGCCCCATAAGAGGCACAACACAGCTCCAGCCCCATCCAGAGCAGCCCCAGCCCCGCTCCGGCCCCGTCCGGAGCTGCCTCAAGGACACCTGCCCAGATTAGAGCGGTTAATCCCGGCGCTTTGCTTCAGCCCGCCTCGGGATCTTTGCTCTCGCCGGGTTTTTATGGCCGTCTGGGCACACGGGGAAAGCTCCGGCTGCCAGATAGGGACGGGCTCAAAGATCCCGTCGGGAGCAGCCTCACCCGGCAGGACCCGGAGCSCGCCAGCTCTCAGCCTGTCTAGACACCAAAAATCGCCTCGCCGCGGCCCCGCTCCCGGCACCGGAGGCGAGGAAGGGGCAGGAGGGAGCGGGGGATGAACCGGGAGCGGCGCCTCGGGCCGGATCCTCAGCGAGCGCCGCTCCGGCTGCCGCTCCTGCTGCCCCAGGGACCCCCGGCGTCACCGCGCTCCTTCCCACGGGCACCGGCAGCTCCAGGGAAGCCCCCACGGGCTCCGGGGGATGCTTCCGTGCCTCGCCCACRCCGCCCCGGAGCTCCCGAGATGAATTTTGCATCTGGGACGGGCGTTTGGGCTCAGGAGCTGCAGGTGCGGAGCCCAGAGCTGGGGCTGGTCCCTCCCGATCCCCGCAGGGAGCGGCCCAGGGAGCCGCAGCATCCCGGGATGCAAAAATTTCTCCCCCCGTGCGCCTTCCGCACTTACTTGATGAAGTAGAGGCCGCCGTGCATRGTGCTGTCCACTTCCCAGCCTCGGGGCAGCCCTGCGGGGACAGGACGGGAGCGGGGTCACCCTCCCTGCGCTGCCCGGGGTCACAGCGGGGCCCCACAACCCGGGAGGGAACCCCCGGAGAAGGGCAGGATCGCGCGGGAGGGGATCGTGACACTTTGATGAGTCGCGATCAACCCTCACAACGCTCAAAATGAATTTTTTGGGGGGAGAAATTTGAGGCCCCTCCCCACCAGAAACAACTGGAGGGAAGGGGAAAATCCCACCCAGGAATTGCTGCAGCTGGAAAACCCGCGCTGGGGAGAGGCAACATCACCTCGCACCGACCCCCCAGCCCTCCCCGGCTGCAGCAGCTCCTSCTGGCCCGGTTTTTGGGGATCTCCMCGGAAGATTCCAGCCCACCCTGRACCCCCGAGCCTCACCSGCGCAGGAGAAGTGCCCGCTCTGGATGGCGTAGCCCGTGCCGGGGTGCACCCAGCTCGTGGATTTGGTGTCGTCGCTGCGAAGGACAAGGAGAGAGAGGGGCTGTCAGCACCCCTGGGGGGCTCGGGACCTCCATCCCACCGCTGGGAGAGGGTCTCGACCYCACTGAAGAGTGGATTTTGGGGACGGAGGGGACTGGGACAGCGGCGGCCCCAAGGAGGGAGAAATGGGATGGAAGGAGTGGCGGCCTCGCCGCGGGAACGGTGCAGCAGGTGCGAGCCCTTGTTCGCATCCCAAACCGAGCCCCCCGCCCCCCGCAGCCCCCCAGCCTCGCACCCCGCTCCCCCCAGCCCCAGCTGAGCCCCCTCCCCACCCCGAGCGAGCTCCGGGCAGGACCGTACTCGATGAAGAAGATTCGCCCGTCGCCGCACACGCCGTAGGTCCACCTGCCCGGCAGGTCCAGCCAGTCGATGTCATCCCCCATGGGGGTGGCACGGGGGGRCTCGGGCACGGAGCAGCCCCGCGCTGCCAGCCGGGACAACCCCCGGCCCGGGAAGTGCCCGGCGACAAATGCCGGTCCCTCCCCAGGAGCAAAGGCTCAGCTCAGCCCTTGCACCCCGGCTCTGTTTGCTGCAAATAACCCGGGAGGGAGGGAAAAGGAAGAAGAAAAAAAAAAAATCCCGACCAAACCCATGGAGTTTAACCCCCTGGGAGCCGCGGTGCGCAGGGCACCCTCCCCGTGACTCTGCCGGGCCAGCCCGTCGCTGCTTCCTGCACTGCCTACTCGCTGTAATTACCGTCAATTAACTCGAGGTGAGTAATTACGGACTTGTTACTTCCCTCTCCTGTTCATTTGGAACAATGTCGGATTCTTCTGGCCCGTCTGATCTCGCAGCCAAGCCGTATGTAGGGCACCCTGATGATTATCTGCGGCACTCCTGGAGCTGCCCACTGGGTATTTTCTCTCGCAGCCGTCAATTAAAAGTCTTTTAAGGCCGAAGGTGGGGTCTGGGAGGCTCCCGGGCCGCTGACTGAAAGAGCCAATTTGCCCTCCTGCCTCAGCGGCGCCTTTGCAAAGCTGCTGGTGGCACCGGGCAGGGAGATCCCGGCTCGGGAGAAGCCTCGGAGGCGGAAAAGAAGGAGCCGGTTCCCACAGCGGGGAGGAATTTTGGGATTATTAAACTTGGATGAGACCTCCGAGCTCGAGTTCAGCCTTTGACCGAGCTCCTCCAAAGCGTTTTGGGATTTCTCCTGCTGGGCTGAAGCTCCGTCCCCACATCAGAGCGGCTCCCCGCCGGGATTTGGGGAAACCTGTTCCCCGAAAGCTTTTCCCGGAGTTCTTTGAACSGCTGGGGGAGAAAAACACGTCTGGTTGGTGCCGATGGGAGAGCGGCCGACGGGACCCTGGAGCTGCCACCGTCCCGGGCWTTGTTTCACCCRGAAAACTCMATTTCCTGGGTCCTGGGAYTCGTTTAATGGGGAAAAGTTCCATTCCCAGGGTCCAGAGCATTGTTTYACCCGGAAAACTCCATTTCCTGGGTCCTGGGYATTGTTTCATGGGGAAAAGTTMMATTCCCGGGGTCCTGGRCATCGTTTCAYCCRGAAAACTCCATTCYTTGGGTCCTGGGGCTTTGTTYTAYCYGGAACTCAATTTCCTGGGTCTTGGGTATTGTTTTACCTGGAAAATTCCATTCCCTGGGAATTTTTTCCCTGGAAAACTCAATTTCCTGGGTCCAGACCATTGTTTCACCTTGAAAACTCCATTCTCTGGGTCCTGGGCATTGTTTCACCTTGAAAACTCAATTTCCTGGGTCCAGACCATTGTTTCACCTTGAAAACTCCATTCTCTGGGTCCTAGGCATTGTTTCACCTTGATAACTCCATTTCCTGGGTGCCGGCCATTGTTTCACCTTGAAAACTCAATTTCCTGGGTCCTGGGCATTGTTTCACCCGGAAAAGCTCAATTTCCTGGGAGAAATATTTGGCTTCAATCCACGGGGGAAACTCGTGCGTGCCCCAGGTTGTGAGCAAATCCTCAGACCCCCACAATTGCAACCTTGGGGGGTTCAGAGGGAAAAAAATCCAAAGAAATTTTTGGGAGATCGGGCTCTTCACGTGGGTTTGGGTTGGCCCCGGTCCAAAGCCACACCGGGGAGTTGCCACCCTCCCTCTTATCGCGTCCCCACCCCGAACCCGCTGCGGAGCAAACCCCRCTCACCGCCCCATTCACGGCCGGGGGAACTCCCCGATGCGCCCCGAGATTGGGGAGGTCACGGCTCCGCTTCCACCCCGCCCCTGCTCGGCAGGGTCCGCGCTCCAGAGCCAAACCGCAGCCGGGAATTCCTTGGGAAGGYGCCAGCAGCGGCGTCATCCCAGGACAGCCCCAAATCCTTTGCCATCGTGGTTTTGGGGGATCCAAAAGGGTTTTAGGGAGTCSAGCGCAGCAAGAGGCCGTTTCTAAAGTGCCCTGATCCTATTGGGGATAATCTGGGATAGGGCACTGCTGGGATAACCACAGAATTCCCAGGAACGGCGGCTCCTCCGGCCACTGCTGCAGACGTTCATGGATGGGGTTTTCTTTGTGGAATCATGGAATTCCCGGAGTTGGAAGGGAGTCATAGGGATCACCCAGTCAACYCCAAAATCCCAAATCCCACCCTGAGCCTGGCAGCGTTGTCCAAACCCTCCCTGAGCTCTAGCAGCTTTGGGGTCGTGCCCATTCCCTGTTCCCGACTGCTTTTTGGGGAAAAACCCTTTTCCAGATAATTCAGCCCCATGGTGCCACAGCGGGAGCTCGCTGTCCCCATCCCTCACCTTCCATCCCTGGGATGAACCTCTCCAATTCTCCAGAGTACGCAAAAACCTCCAGAGAATGTGGGATCAGGGTCCGATGAGCTCATCTGAGACTAAAAGATTTCCTTCTTTCTCCAGCAAGCCACAGGGAGTCCTGAATTTCCCTGACCGTGAGTATTCCCTCACTTTTCCATGGGAATTTCTGGGAATGGGCTCATCGGGCACATGGGGAAGGAGAAGGAGCTGCTGCAGACCTGGGATGAACCAGCTGAGGTTCTTGGAGGGTTTTGTAGGAACTTCAGCCAAGCCTGAGCAGCTCCAGGCTGTCTCCTGCCACATGAATAAATCAGCTTTTATCGCTTCCCACAAGGGAATTTTTTCCCTCTCTGTTTCCTTCTATCTTCATCCAATGGAAATTCAACGGGGAAATACCAGCGGGGCTTTTTGTTTTTATGGAATTCCAGACTGGTTTGGGTGGGAAGGGACCTTAAAGCTCATCCAGAGCCACGGGATGGGACATTCTCCACATCCCAGGACACAGACGCCGGTTTGGGGACAAGGATTTTGCTGCCAACAGGAACATGGAGAAGCCACCAACTGCCACCAGCTGCCACCACCTCCTCCTCCATTCCAAACCTCCGAGCACGGTGGGAGAACAAAGGGAGGGAAGCAGCTGGAAAAAGGGATGGGGATGAGCGCTGGGGTGACACCGCTGTGAGGACACAGAGTGACGGTGACACAAAGCCCGGCCGAGGACATTTCCTGCTGGAACCTGTGGCTCAGGCGACAGGAATGTCACAGAACCGGGYGCTTCCCGCACAAAGGGGCGGTTGTTGCTCCCGCCCTGGATGTTCCCATCCCAAGGCTCATCCTGCGGGTGGGAGGAGCGCCTGGGAGGGGGCGTCGCTTTGGGGACAACCTCAGCGGGGGCGGTGGCCTCGCTGCTGCAGAACGGTTCTGGCACCACCTCCTGGACAAAAGATTCCTGGAAAAAAAACAACCAGGAAGGCGGCTGGAGACCGAGGGACGCAGGGGATGCCACCGGTGTCCCCCAAAACAGGAGTTGTCCCTGTCCTTGACTGGAATCGGGGAATGGTTTGGACTGGGAGGGAACTGAAGGGACCAAATCCTGTCCAAACTGGCCTTGGACACTTCCAGGGATGGAGCAGAGCAAAGCTTCCCTGGATAACCCGTGCCAGGCCTGTCCCTGTCACTCCAGGTGCCCTCTCCTCCCCCTGCTCCAAGGTGCCAGCTGAATGCCAGGCTGGGAACAACCACAGCCACAATCCCGGGGTGTTGGCTCCCTCCTGGCATTCCCAGCCGGAGCACAGAAACCGGGAATCGCCCCAGGTGAACGGGAGYGGCTGAGGGAAAACCGGAATCGCCTCCTGTTCTTTATGCCTGGCTGTAAATTCCTTGTAATTTGGTGGGTGGTGCCAGGGAATTCTGCTCCCTGGATCTTTGAATTCTGCTGGGTGCTGTTCTCTGGATCCATCCTGGTGGGAATTCTGCTGGGTGCTGCACCCT